ATAAAACGATTACCTCCACAGAAAATCATAATTATGTGGAATCATGAGTGGTTGTCTTAGAGACCGTTTACTGTGTTTGCTCTCAAATATATTTTATTTCAAATAATTGGAATAACTATCTCTTTGTATCTGTAAAATTCCAAGAAATCATTCTTTATACTCTTTTTTTTTCTATTAAAGGTCTGTAAAAAAATTAGTACTAAGTGCAGAGGGCAACTTTTACTTACTTATTTAGAATATGCATTAGTAATTTTAATCTTTTCCATATTAAAAAAATAATGCTTAGATAAGGGAAATGAGAAGATTATATATAAAGGTGATATATATTATTTCAAAAATTAAGTAGGGAAAATACTGTAAGAAAAAAATGTACATTAACATTAGAAATATTTGCCTGTTGCGTATTAGAAGATTTAAAATTCTTTCTTTGAACTCATGGAGCAAAGACTATATTGTATTATTGACAGATAAGTCAGTTCCGTAAAAATAATAGTAATGAAAGGAAAAATATTCCAAAAGTGTGTAAAACAGAGTTATACATCTTACACTAATACAAATGATTTTATTATTCTACCAATTTTGCTTTTAAATTAGTTTTTCCTTCAAATCTATTGTGCTAACGAATCGATTTGTAAGAAACGACATTCATTCTTGTGATTGTAATATTAGTAAAAACTAAACATTTGAAATGCTTAAAAATAAAAGCAACGGCATTTTTTTAAACAACGAAAAATTCAATGAAGAGCATTAACAGTTAAAATAAAGCAAATATGCAAAGAATAAATAAAATGAACAGCCAATTAAAAAAAAATAGTACAAAAGCGCTAACAGTATAGCCCAAATTAATTTTAAGATAAAAACCTAAGTAAACTGAGAAATAATTAAAAATGAAATAAATGTTTGAGCAATGGAAAATTAGAAAAGGTTTTAGAAAACTACAATACGTTATGAAAATGACTAAGAATCGAATTACAATCCATAACTTATGGAACCAATAGAAAGTGAATTTACGATGACGTCAGAAATCATGTGAACATACGTAAGTATGATATCACAAAAATCCGGTGATCTTTGACGTCATGTATCACTTTTTGTGACTTTTCAATTCTTTTCTTGCTACTTTAGTTGAAAACGTTCTGGCATCACTGCGCCAAGCATCTTTGACAGTCAGTGCGAGCTGTAGTTGCATTCGGCAAAGTAATGGTGGTCGAATTGAGGACAAATTTATCATGAGTTATATTATGCAGCAAGCTATGAAGGTCTGCTACTACATAACGCTGTCACTTCGCTGACCCAAAGTGAAGTCACGGAGCTTTCAGACAACATATTCCCTGAACGAAACTCATTCCAATGGCATTTTCTTTCTTTTAACCTCCTGAATACGCCATGTAACGCTACTGCTTTTATCTTGGACACCCTGCATAATCGTCACTAGTTGACAAAAGTATCTTATTATACAGAGTGAACAGACAGCAAAATACTTTTATTTGTACCATTAGAAATGATCCAACTGAAAGAACAATCACAAATTTTCTGTCATTAAAAGTCGAAGTTAAAAGATGAAGCTTAAAGCCCTTGAAATTATTTGAAAATTATTAGCGCCTTTTAAAAAGCTCTGAGTCTGGTTTCTGATTAATCCTACAAGGTCATGACGCTCATAATACAACACTAATAGTCAGATCGTGAAGTGTGTATACCTCTGTTTCAAGTCAGAATAAACAAACGTTCAGAAACTGGTCACTTTACTTTTAATGAAAAAAGAAGTTTTGCGAAAACATTTATGTAATTTTGAAATATGATCTTTCTCCCTTGTCACATCATTATTTTGTTCATGACTTCTTAATACTCAATAAAATTAAGTGTAAATTTTGATTTAAAAAGGACGATTCTGAGAAATGATCAGAAATTGCCAGTAATAAGCACTCTAAAGTTTCTAGAAAAAAGGCTGGTGGAAAAATAATTAATTCTTTAAGTAGTCAACTCCAGATTATCTATTTGGTAGATTATTTTGATTGCGAATTAATCGGGCCTTTGTTTGAAAGAAAGTTAAATTTGTTTACTGCAGAACGAGAAAAATTTGCGTTACCAAACCGTCAACATAAAACAAACTTTTTACGTGATGTAAGAGACAAGAAAGGAAAATACGTAGTACATATATCGATGATAGCAGTTGACGTCATAGTGTATAGAAATGTTTTTATCTGCCATTTAACACGTAATTTAATTGTACCTAAGCCTGAATATACACCGTATTTACAAAAGCCATTACCCTACCCTTACTTTCGCAACCGTTGGTCGTAGAGCTATATTTCCATTACAAAAGTGTTTTAAATGACGCGAATATTCATGTTTTGGCATTTATAAATCTAATAAAATCAATTCTGTAAAATTACAAAATCTAACTTTTTATACATACCTTTGCTCCTTACACTTATATTTAGGAAAATTTTGTACTCATTTAAAAAAATAAAACACAAAATCTTTTAACTCCTGTACAAAAAATAATGACCAAGATATTAAATTTCAAAATACGCGAGTTCTGACGCCATTTTCAGTTTGCGATAAGAGGTTAGTTAATGAAATAAATTAGAATAATTTCTGGCTCATATTCGGGTTACATATGTCAAAAACCACAAAACTTCCAAAAGTAGCTCAATAGCGATAGTTTGGTCTGGGGTTTGAATCCCGGGGAAAGGGCCCGCTGTATGGGCGTTTTCGTGGTTTTCACCATGTATAACGTGTATATGTTACCGTGAAAGACCGAAATTAGAGAATGTCAACATTCACCAAATACGTCGGTGAAAGATCGAATATTGCATTACATTCGGACCCTCACCGGTGTATGTCGACAATCACAGATATGCTCTGTTTAGTTTAGTTTAGTTTAGTGACGGAGGACGTGGGCACCATCCCTTTACCGTTATGGTTAATTGGTAATAGCACCACGTCCACCCTTATCTAGAGACTAGTGGGACTACAGGTCATACTTTACAGTACTTACGATATCGTACAAAATAAATAAACCATACAATTTCCTACATATGCATGATACAGTATATAATCAAACAGGATTATTAAAGCGGTATGCTCTGTTGTAGGTCGCAAAGAGAGGAGTATATTTACACGCTGTCATTGCAAAAGGAAGTGTTCCACAAATAAATGCAGTTGTAAAAGCAAGGGCCTCTTGTGCAATTAAAAGTGTCATAATTGTTTAAGTTGTTTCAATAAATAAGATTTGAATCAAATAATTTAGTAAGTTTTTAACTTCTATTATTTTCCTTTCTCATTTTGAATGTACTGTGTGTTTTAAGTTCTAATGTTCTTAAGTTCTTATTTTAAGGCTCAAGTGAGTTTTTTCGCGATTGAATTACGGAGAAGAAAATATAACATTCTTATATGTTCAACATCGCCATTAGTACATGGTGAATGTCGACATTTACCGGTGTAAGTCAGAAATAAGAGCATTTGGAAAATATTTCGGACATACACCAAGCGACTAGGTGAATGTTGGCATTCACCGGTGAAAGTCGACATTCTCCAGATTTCGGTGTTTCACCGTAACATATATAAGTCAGCTTCTCTTAGAAAGTCCTCGACAAAAGCATCCCTCTCCTTAGGCAGATAGTAGCTCTAGTGCTTTGCCGTAATCAAAAATAAAAAAACAAAAACTTCCATGCAGTCAGCCCTTACCAACGGAGGTCGAATTACCAGCGTTCTGAGGTCTTACCGCTCGGCCGCTGATGTACCGGTTGGGTAACGAAAATTTTAACTCTTGGAAATCTAATAAAATGTCAATGGAAGGAAGATAATGAAATTTCTTAGATGTAACGTTTTTTAAAAAATGATTACTGCCTTTAGGAACACTAACGGAATCCCGTTTAAAAGGAAAAAAATCAGCAAAAGGGAAAGGGGTTCAACACATAAACCACTCATTTCCGATTATGAGCCCCATACTGCGAAATTTACATCATAAGAGTATGGAAGGGAAGGTCATTGGAGTGATATTCGGCATCTCTGGAATTCTCACTAGTCTGGTTTGACTGCTATGTTCCCCGAGGAATTCCTAGTGAATGTAATAATTCGAAATTTTGAGGATTTATAAAAAGGTTTCCACAGGTACAGAAGCTAATAAGGGGTATTAAAGTGATGCGTGTTGCAGTGAAGTTTATGATCTATATATAAAATCTTGCAAGCCTGAAAGGAATATATGCATGACATTATTTCATTAGTACAAAGCATATTAGGGCTGCATGCTTGCCTACTGGGAAGGTTGCCTTCACAGAGGCCATTCTAACGAAAACTGGCGTTACATAGTATAAAGGGCCCACCAGCGGCCGAGTGGTAAAGCCGCTGAACACTGGTAGTTCGGTCCGAGGTTCGAATCCCGCGAACGGGCTGGGGCGTTTTCGTGGTTTTCCCCATGTGTAACGTGTATACGAGCCAGTTTCCCTTATAAAGTCCTCCACGAAGGCATCCCTCCCCTTAGGCAGGTAGCCCTAGTGTGATTTGCCGTAATTAAATCAACTAACCAACCAACCAACATAGTATAAAGACACTCTCATACACTTTCCTCCTTCGGGCATAACTCGCGAAGTGTAACTAGCTAGGTTCTAGACATTTTGTTGCGACTCAAGAAAAATTCGAAACGAACCTGGAAACACAGGAAACTATATCAATAAACTGGCAGCATGGAGGAAGGAGGAGGAATTTAAATAAACTTTTAAAAATGAAATATTAGCTTCATTAAATTCATACAGTTTTTCCCCCATAAACGTCAATAATGAGTCAATAATGAGTTGTGATCAAATTCGCAAGCCGATAAAGGTGATGCATTCGGAAGTAACACAACTAAATATCTCTAGGGAAACAGGTAAACTACGTTCATCTTTGTATGTCTTAAGGGATTTTGCGTTTGTATAATGAAATACTGAGTTAACTAAATATTGAATTCAGCATCTAGAGAGATTATTTTTTTATTTAATGAAGCATTTCACACTTAGCCACTGGCTGCCAGGAAACATTGGAACCCAATGGAAATATTTCAAACGGACCTTATAAGAGATGCGGTGCTTTTTTAGATGGAATACAAGCACTGTCATACTGTGCAGTCTGCGAAAGTTTAAATGAAGAAAATATCAGCTGCATGCTATTTGGTAAGTATTATAAATCAATTTTCAGTAAAACCCATTTCGTATTTTCCTATTTCTTATTTTTTGTGTGCTGTTCTCGAGACTTACTAGAATCCTTTCCATACCAAACATATTTCAGGTTCACTATGTGGCTGAGTTTAATAGACGGCGATTAATGTATTTCAAATCGTGATATCAGTTTTAAAATTTCCAATTCAAATAACAACTAATTCAATAATTAATTCTAAAATATTAATTAAAAATTAATGCTAAACTATTTACACAATTTTGAAATTCATTTTTTAATTTTTTATAAAAGTATATTCTTATAACTACGTTCTCGATAAAATTTTATCTCTTACAAGCAATCATTCTGTCTGTGTTTGTTTCGTATTGTTCAACAACTTCGTAAAACTGCTGGTAGCTCTTTTGATCAGCACCTTTCAGTTCAACAGTTTTTCTTAGAATTTGTACTGTTTTTCTAGATTCGAGTGATGTTGGCATGTCATCACATTTTTCTTTATTACTTTAGCTGTCAGTTTTTGCAACTCTTTTATCATTTTTGCAGTCAGATTTTACACACGTTGTTGTGTATTGACACATTTTAAAAATGATTCTTCATAACGTCTGTCACAGATGTCTGAAATATTAGCTCTAGTTTGCAATTCTGATGAGGCTTCTTCTGTATAAAAACCGCATTTTTGAGAAAATGCTTTAACTGATTTTAAAGATTAACCCCTGCATTAACTATAATATGCATGGCTTCTACAGAGATATCAGATCACTTATTTCTTTCGAACTGCTTGCATTTTCACAAAACTCAATTCTTTTCACCATTTTCTGAACACCTCTTTTACAATGACACTTGAAAGCTTTTATAATATCCTAGTCTAAAGGCCGAATGTTCGAAGCTGTATTTGCAGGAAAAGAGACTACTTTTTTCCCTCCCATGTGGAGACATTAGGTATTTTTTTAAAGCAGGCAAGATGAAAAATGAGCAATCGCCTTCGCCAGAAATCGAACCACGGACCCCTGGAATACCGGCCCAGCGTGCAGAACCACTACACCACGAAGGCACGCTAGGAAAGCGAGAGAAATACTTTACATCCGGAAAGAGATCAGATGTGTGTTTGTTGTACAGTTATATAACTATTAAAAGTGTTTTTTTTCCCTCATTTTGCAGTTCGCTATCTTATTCCAAGAGAAAATCAGTAAAAACACTATTTGTTACACATGAATTCTTATTACTATGACAAATTAGAGATAAATACTTGGCTCTTTTGAATCATCGATGTTTTCTGCTTTTGTCAATAACTATTACTGTCTTCTTAATTGTTCGTTCCATATTGAATCCTAATAATAAAGTAACTCATTCCTTCAATTTTTTAAACCAGCTGCTATTTCACCCTTGAATATTAATGTGTGCTCTGGTGAGGTTCTGTATACATAGTCCAATGTCATCTGTATGATAAACTTCTTAAGCTTCTATTCACGTAGCAGTCCAAGTAAAACGTCTTCTATCCAACTATCAGCTGATGACCTTCGTATTCCTTCTCACCATGCAGGTTCTGATGAACAATACTGGAATTATCTTTCTACAGCTTGCGAGCCATATGTATGTAAATTTCCTAACATTTCGCGATTTAGTGAAAAGGCTCTATAAGCAGAAACATTTTATGTTTTTATAGCTTGAAAACGTTCTAGAAATGTAGATTTTCGATTTCTGTCGTTCATGCTCTTCCTTAAGATATTTGTATTTTTTATTAGTTATTTATTAATCATAATTCCTTAATTAAATGAATTTTGCAATGCTGTTTGGGACAATCCTAGTTTAAATATAATTTTTTGTGACTGCAACTGCCAACAGCAGCAAAAGTTTTTAACAATTTGTCTTTTCTTTCGGGCTTAAGTCTATGCTTGACATTTTGGACATATTGCAAGTTAAGCACACAAAAAATTGAAAAAGAAATGCTTCTTCCTGTGATTTATTCAAGTTTCAAAATTTGCATTTCTAACCACTAGAAAGATTGCCTTTCTTCTGTTTAGTCGATCTGCCACTTCATGAGTGTAAGCGTAAACAATGCATGCTTTGTTTTTTCTTCAGCCTACAGTTCCTTTTTATTCAAAGACTGTTAACATATGGTAATGCTAATAAGCATATAATCAAGTTTTTTTAATAATTCTCTGTGAACATAACTGTTGTCTATCCTCAAAGGAAAATTTTGAGTGTGGAAGCCCTTTGATGGTCATCACCGAGCTCAGCTCGCATTCTAGTTATGTACAAACAGTGGATGTAAACAAACCAGTTCGAAGTACAAATTTACGACTGACAGATATCACGTTTATTTGGGAAGAAAGAATTATTTAATGCCACGACTGCTGAAAGGTTAAAAGATGGGATACAGGAGCTGCACTTCCATATCCTATCAGATGCTTTGCCCTATGCACTTCGTTCACTATTGCTAGAAGATTATTTTCTTACCCTCCTCTCTCAAACGCAAAAAAATACATGTTCATTTATTTAGTCTTATATTATTTTTAACGTGTTTTACAAATTAAACAACAAGAAGTGAAGAAAATTTTGATAAATACCAAAATTTGAATAAAAGTAGTTTTTTTTATATTCATAAACTAAAACTAAGTACTTAACAATTAATTAAAAGGCTGATCGCATTCCCCTCCCCTGAAATTATGAAATTTCTTCCTAAAAGGGAATTGCCCCCTAGTTGAGAACCGCTGGTCTAGAGGATTGTTTTTGTTAACCTTCAGATAAGGAGATTCTGTTAATCTGAAGTCCAGTGCAGACTTCAGAGGACAACTTATGAACTCTGAAAACAGTCTCGCAAGTACATGGAATAGGGAGTGGGGGTAAGAAAATTTCGGACAATCTCATTTTATTGAAGCACTACATGCATGAATGATAAAGCTACGGTCCTCAGTTTATCTATCTTGAACTGAAAATGTTAAATGGGTAAACTACGAAAAGCTTTGATAAGTACAAGTAGGATATTCTGGCACTGAAATACCAGTCTTTTGCAAATCTTAATTTAATAAGCGGAGGAAATAATTTTAATAAACGGCAGTTTTTCTGTTGATTAGTGCGTATTTGTTTCAGTTACTGGAAAAACGAGCTTAATTAGTGAGCTTAATTAATTAGTGAGTTTAATAAGCAGTAAGTACTGTACTTGTCATTTATGAGTTCTTACAAACAATTGGTAATCTCTCGTTGCTGTGGTAATCTGGAGGTAAATTCTTGATTCCTTTCAAACATCGAGGTTTTCTGCTTCTTAATTATTGGTTCATAATACACATTATTAACACAATAACTTATTACTTCAATTTCTTAGACCTGCTGTTGTTTTACTTTTAAATATAAATGCGTATTCTGATGATGTTCTGTAACACAGTCAAGTTTCCGCCTGTGTTATAAATTTTGTGTGGTTTGAATTCGTTCAGCCCAGGTAAAATGCCGATTACCAGTCGCATGATGATCTGTCCTTCCAGCACACAATTTCCTAAGAACAATGTTGTTTCTCTCTTTCCAACTTGTGAGCTATCCGTCAGTTGATATAAAATTTTCACTTCAACTTTTATAGTGAAAACAGCTCTAGAAGTAAGAACATTCTTTTAGTTTCATACTTTGAAACTATTATAGCAAGAGCAGTTTCAAAATCTCTTGATGTTTCGTCTTTTGTTCCATAAGTTTTTCGCTCTTCCTTTGAAATATTTGCATATTTTATTAGATCTTTATCAATTATATTGCTTTATTTAAATAAACGGCACAATGCTGTTTGGTAAATTCCCAGTTTAAATGCAGTTTTTCTCTGGGCGGCAGTTGTCAAGGGTATCAAGATCTATTAACAGGTCAATTTTTCTTTCAGGTTTAAATCTTTTCGCTCAGTCATTTTTGACATGTTACAAATTAAACAGTTTTTTTTAAAAAAAAGCTTTTATTCCAATGATTCATTCAATTTCAAAACCTCATGCTTCTAGTCAGCAGAAATATTGTACTTTTTCTGTTAAGATGATCCGATGTTTCTTGATTACGGATATGACGAATGCTCTTTTTCGTTTCCTTCAGCCTATAGTTACCTTTACTTTTCTATTCAAAAACTGTTAATATACAGTAATGCTAGGAAACATTTCATAAACCCTTTGTGAATACAATGTATCTATATCAAAGGGAAGATTTTGACAGCAGAAACTGTAAAAGATGGGATGGGGAAGTTGCACTTCCATCTCCTATTAGCTGGTATTCGAGAAAGAACACTCACTCATTTATTATGTCCTTAGAAGATTACTTTGTTAACGTTGAGATAATTAAATTCTGCCATTCTGAGCTTCAGTGATGAAAAAGAGCTCTGAAACAATCTTTCACATGTATAGGACCCAAACGGTAGAAAAATGTCGGTCAAACTCGCTGCATTGAAGCATAACATACTTGAATGATATATAAGCCGCAGTTCACAATAAGTCAAACGGCTGAACTTCAATCGCCTTTGAGAGGTATAAGCAGAGCTGGGTCGAAAGCTTCTTTCGGGTGGAAAACTAGATTTCCATCAAGCCAAACTAGATATGAAAATTTTGAAATTCATTAAAAAAAAAAAAAGAAATTATGATGATATTAAGGATTAAGGAAAGGAAAACAAAGAAACTGTAAAATGTATTGCATTAAACAGAATTCGAACCATTAACGGAAACTTGTTCGGATAATTTTAAGGAAATCAGATGGTTTTTTACATAAAAACAGCGTTCAGTTCTCGTCTGTGCTACGACGTTAATTACGATAAATTAATTGTGGCAGCAAATTATTGCAAACATGATATAAAGAAACTCCTTTTAAAGCATAAGATATTTTCCGTCATAGGACGAAATTCACTAAGCACTTCTCTTTGGAAAGATATATGAGCAATTTGTCATTGATAAATTAAATGTGTTATTTTCATCTCTTGTAACAGTGTAAGTTTCAAAGTTAAGTGTTTATAATTAAAAGTTCTTTGAAAGTAGGTTATTCTATTTCGGTC